CATGATATTTGCTGTTCTTAAAGCATAAGCTAACTCATTTATGTAGCCATCCCAGCGCTTGTGATGTGTGCTAACATAGCTTCGAATTATTTTTTACAATATTTTTATTAACTCTTTCTGCGATGTTTGCCTGTGGTCTATACGGAACCATTTTGATATGGCGTATGCCAAGTCCAGTGCAAATGTTTTCAAATATTTGGCTAACGAATTGTTTACCGTTATCGCTAATGACTTTTATCGGTGCACCGTATTTTAAAATGTATCTGTGTAAGAATGCATCTGCAACTGTTTTGGCTGACGCGCGTTTAAGTGCAACAATTTCTGTCCACTTTGAAAAATGATCTACAATTACTAAAAGAAAACGATTTTTATTTAACTCACTCTGGGGAAAGGACCAAGAAGATCTATGCCTAAAATTTCATTCGGAAATGTAGCGCGAATGCTATTTAAGTACCCGGCCGGGCTGTAATTAATATCATTTATTAATTGACATTGATTGCAGGACCTGACATACGCAGTTACTATTTTGTATAATTGCGGGAAATATACCGCCTCGCGTACCCTTTTTATAGTCTTTCTGACCCCTAAATGACCCGATGTTTTTGCGCGTCGTGTAATTCCTTCAAAATGCTCAATCGAAGCGAGGCTGGGATGACTGGTCTATACTCAAATTTTCGTTTGTTGATTTCGTATAAACAATAAATTATCTATTATTTCATAGTTTTCTGCTCTACTTCTTATTGCGGATCGACATCTGTATGTTCAAAGATTTCGGGGTCTTTCAAATAAGCATAAATACTTCCAAATTCAGGATCAGCTTTCAATTCAGCAATAATTGTTTCTCTAGAATCTAAAATTTTAGAAGTCAACACAGCGCATTTGAGTTCATTCCCTTCATCGTCCAGTTTTATTCGGGATAGTGCGTCAGCTACATTATTTTCTTTCTTACCTGGTTTATATTTAATTATTAGATTATATTCTTGAAGTTTTAAAGCCCATCTTATTAACCTGGGCGTTAGGTTTTTTCCCCGAGTAAAGTCTACCAACAGCCGCATGATCCGAAAAGACTGGTACTGGCGCTTTGCCGAAATAAACTCGAAATTTGTGTACAGCCATTAATACGGCTAATGTTTCTCTCTCTGTAGCTGTATAATTCCTTTGCGTAGAGTTTAAAGTTTTACTAAAAAATGCCAAAGGATGGCCATTCTGCATGAGAAACCGCACCTACGGCATAGTCCGACGCATCTGCATCTGCTGCAATTTCCAGGTTTTCGTCCCCTTCCGGGAATTTCAAAACAGGGGCATTGATGAGTGCTTCTTTTAACCTTTCAAATGCTGTATTTGCTTTCTGCTGTCCACGTAAACTTTACTTTTTTTCTTTTAATTACTAACAACGGTTCAACAATATTCGCGAAATCTTTTATGAACGACCGATAATAAGAACATAACCCAAGGAAAGAAGAAAGTTTCTTGGCGGTGTTGGGAGGTGGGAAATTCTTGATGGCTTTTATTTTTGAATCCTTGAGTTTCTATACCCTTTTGCGAAATTTTATAACCCAGATATTTAAGTTCTTTAGTTGCGAACTTGCATTTTGATGCGTTAATTGTAAGACCGGCCTCTTTTAATAATTTAAAAACCTCTTCCAAGTCTTTAATATGTTGTTTCCAACGTACTACTCGTTATAATTATATCATCTAGATAGATTAAAGTCGATTTTCCTAGGACAGGCTTTAGAACAATGTCCATAGCTCTCTGGAATGTTGACGGGGCCCCACACAACCCAAAGGGCATGCGTAAAAATGCATAAGTGCCCGATTTTGTGATAAACGCGGTTTTATGTATATCTTCAGGGTCTCATAGCTATTTGATAGTAGCCAGACGTTAAGTCCAACGTAGTCATGTATCTCGTAGACTTAATCTTTCTAATAATTTCCTCTATTAACCGGCAAAGGGTAAACCGGGAACTTAGTAATACTATTAAGTTTTCTGTAATCGATAGCAAACCTCCAAGCCCTTTTATCCGAAGGAGGGAAATCGTTCTTTTTCCTACATAGTACGACTGGACTCGCGTACTCACTATTTATGGGCGTTATTATCTGGTTCTGCAACATTTCCTGAATGTGTTCTTCAATATTTGCTTCTTTCTGTTTTATCATACCGGTAGGGTTTAGTCCTACAGGGTTTATCGGCAGTTAGTTGTATATCATGTGTTACAATTTGACAGTTACCAGGCCGTTCTGAAAACAAGTTTGAAAAAGTACTCACCACTTGCTGGATGGCTTGGCTTTCATGGTCATCAAATGGCTAAGGTCTACCTGCGGTTGTTTCACTGGCTCCACCACCCTCCGATCCATTTCCAGCATAATCGAATTCTCCTGAAAATTTAGCTTGGCCTTTCGCGGCCTTTAAAACTCCATGCCTAAGATGACTGGATTCTGCAAATTTTCACCACAAAAATTAATACTTTAAGGCTTTCATCTTTTATCTGTATTTTTAATGATAATTTCCCGATACATTGACAGGTTTTTTCCTTGGGCCGCTATAATTTCTTTGTGTTTTTATTTTTAAATAATCCGTAACCTATTAAAATTCTTCTTGAAAAATGTATCACTCATAAAATTACCTTTCTGCCCCTGTATCAATGAGGGCTTCTACTGGTACATCGCCAACCAGGACTTGTATAATTGGTAATTGGGAATTCTTTACCACGACCGTGTTTAAGTATCTTCTTGAGGGTTTTTTCGAAACTTCCGGGGTCTGGACCCTCGCTTTTACAGGCCCCTCTACTCGTTTAAAGCTTTCCTTTCAACTTCAGTCTTTTGGGTACGCGGACGGTTTTTTTCAAATTTCCTTTTTGCGCCTTGACCTTCTAGCTTCGATGAGTTGGCTTGATAGCTCTTTCCCCCATAAGAGCGATTTGTGTTTCCGGTCTGTTGATTTGAGAATTGCCTGCGGGGACCTTGAGAATACGATGCCCCTCTAGATTTTTCCGCTATTCTTCGGTTTTGGAACTTGACCGCCAACTCGAAGAGTTCCTGCAAGGTGCTTGGATTTCGGATTTCGAAGTAATCTTGGACAGCAGGTAGCAATCTTGGTAAGATTATTTCAATTATCTCCGTGTCGGGTTTTCTTTCCATACAGCATATCCGTCAGCTTACTTTTCGCAGAATAAAGTCCGTCAACTCTTCCATATTACGTTGATAAAAACTATACAGCTTCGGCTTCTAGCTTTGCTCGGTCTTTCACTATGGGGAAGGCCTTTAATAATGATATTTTGAAAATTTTCAAAGGTATATGTTTGGCCTCCGAATTCTCCTAATAAAAATTTCCCTATACTCTTCCACCATAGTGAGGCCTGTCCTCTTAGTGCAGACGTGGCAATGGCAACTTTTTGTCTTTCAGGCACAGGGCATAACTGGAAGTGATTTTTGAGGCCTTCTAAGAATATCGCCACCGAATTTTTTTCCGTCGAAATTGACGTTTGGCTTGATAGATGGCTCATCGTTTGGACCAGGTATCCAAATCCTTCTAACTGGTTCGCCATTTCTTGCTGTTGAAGTTGTACAGGAGCTTCCATCCAGTTTTCGGCCATCTAAGTTCGTAATATGTTCGGGCGCCAATATAGTGTTGCGAGCCCCCAACTTATCAGCAACAGTGGTAGTGACTGCTATGAACTGTAAATTACACAAACTCGTAAGAAGGGTTTAAATCCCTTTTTATTCCACTTTAGAAATAACAGCTGCGTTCACTTGACGCTCACAAACTACGCCGACCCGGCGGTTTAACAAAACAGATATGGGAAACTAAAAATAAATGACAGGATGAATAAATAACGAGATCACTACCTACGAGGCTCTAAAATCGTAACTAACTTAACCGCGTTCTAAGATACAGCTGAGATTCAGCAAGCTTACTGATTAAGCAGTTGAAGATTCAACGAACTACCGAAATAGGCACACAGGCCGAAACGCGCTTTTCTTAAATTTCTACCTAGCAACCTTCACGCTCATGATTCAAGAAGCACACATGCAATCTCGTTTCCCTTCTATTTAAACTCAACTTACTTCTGCTAAAATTTGAATATACAGCGCGTTCTACTACAATTTACATACTCTGGCATTGGCAATTCCAGGGGAAAGTAAAGGCTTGACAGGAAAGATAGCTTAAAATAAATGTTAGTTAAAATAAATATAAACCCTACATATCTATTTCTGTTTTCCACGGCTATCACACCACCGTTTCCTCAAAGAGAAAACTATAAAAATGAAGTGCACGCATTGGAAGTCTTTGAATTTGGCCATACAGGAGTTTTACAAAATTCTGATTTTGATCAAAGAGCACGACTGATTCTGGTTAAGCTCCAAGAATATCTTTAAATTAGAAAATTTACCGCCTACTTTCTTGCAACTACCGAAGATAACGAAAAACCTTGAATTTAATTTTGTTCCATCACTCTGAAATGAACTGTAATTATAAATTTCACACTAATTGCACAAAGCATTATTTAAGCGTTTCTTAATAGCATTATGTCTTAGCAACAGCAGTGGAAATTCTTGAGCCGAATTTGCATTTCATTATTTATTCTGTGGATGCTTTTAATTGAATTTCATTACCTTTATAAATTCAGTATTACCATAATATAATCCGAGAAACTTCTCCTGAATACCACTAAATATTAATCTTCATCTTTTGATAATATTCAAAGATGGCGGAGATTTTGAATGCTTTTTGTCATGCAATTATCAAAACTTTGGCTGTCAAACCTTTATTTAGTTATTACCCATACAATTTCTTATTCTTAAAATACATATGACTTGTTTTAGTATGCATTTAATATCGTTTATATAGCTTACTATGTAATCTAGGAGTTTCTTTGAAGTTCTGTTGCTCATCCACATAACTAATTTCCCTTTTTCTTTTGAATTTTCAACTGCGTAAATTATATATAACTCTGACATAAATTTTGATATTCCTCCCTTTCTACTTAAATTCGTTTCAGGTATACATGGAGCATACCTCTAAGTTACATAACTGAAAATGGGCAAACTGACATAGTCTGGATTTTTGATGAAAAAGAAGGTATGAATTTGTGTGATTTTCATTAAGAGTTTTAAATCAAACCACTTGCACCATATGCAGTAGAAGTTGTTTATCTCAGCTAACTGAAGCGGATGCACTTCAAATCATTTTTTTTTTCTGGATAAATCATAGCTCATTATGCAGTTAAATATAGAAATAAACATAACAGTAGGTGTCAAAAATATAGCTAAATAAATATCATGCGTTGCTGTATATAGTCAAGAGAAATGGTCTATGACATAGGTTCCCAGTGGGGTCGATGAAATTTTGAAGGGGATCGGTGATGATCAAAGTGTCGAATGAGGGGCGAAGGCCAAAGATACGCTGGCAATTGATCGTCATATTCAAGATCCCACTGAGTATAAAAATATATTATTAAAACTGATAATTTTTGTTTATTGATAAAAAGTTTTACATACAAATAAATCATGTTTTATTCAATATACATGGGTGCGCTAACTTTTGGAATTTAAAAGTCATCGGAGAGAAATATCCCAAAAATAAACCTGTTACTGAACCAACATTATTGACTTTTTCCTTTTCTTACCCAGTTTCACGAAGCTCTCGTAAAGTACTTTCTACGAAAAATAAGAAACGGTTTGAACGTTTTTGAACAAGGACATTTAAGGATTAAGTTAAGCAGTTTTACTCCAAATATTCAAAACATTGCATCAACACATCAAGCGCAGCCGTCATATTCACGAAAATCAAACTTTTGGGCAATTAGAATACGTGGTTTTGTATCCGAAAATTTGCTAATATTTTTAAAATTAAAAATAAAATATAAGTATAATAAAGGCTTTTTTAAGCTTTTGTTCGTATTCTTAGTTTAAATGTTATCTTTAAATTATTGTTTGTGCAATTATTTATTTGGTGATTGTACTGTATGCTATATATTATAGAAAAAATATGAGGTTATGTTAGATTAAGTTAGGTTAGGTATAAGTGCAGAGACTACCTATTACTTACTCTGAGCAAGTGGGTAAAACCCCTTACACTAGCTATGCAAATATCGCTTTTCTGGGGCTCATGGTGCAGTTCTGGCGCCCAAGTACTACTCTTGGCTAGTGCAACCGAGATTGGAAGCTCAGTCACCGCTGGCAGTGACATCAGTTCTCCTAATTAAGACACAATAACACGCCGAATAAATACTAATTCAGAAGTCAAACAACAAAACTCAGCGTTACATTTACAAAATTTTCACAGGACTAGTTTCGATGGTTTTACCGAACCACCATCCTCAGCTGCAAAACCGCAAATCAGTTCTCCTGTCTTATGTTCGTTGGCAGGTATATGACTGCATGGATTATATATTAAACATTATATACACACAACAGGAATAAATTACGCTGTTAAGTAATATGTTAGCCTACTTGTGCTGGTGAAGCATTTAAATGCGTACGAATTTATTACATTTTCATCACATGAAGCCATTCGTTGTTTAGAGATACGTAAGCTTAGCCATTGGCAGTATTTAGAAGTAATTTGAGCCCTGGTTCATGCTGTTAGCAGTGTTTTTCTTTCTCGAGAAATTGCACGTGCAAACATTGTTGGAGGTCAATGAAGAAAATTATTCTTTTAAAAGGGGTCGATGGAAGAATGAGTTTGTGAATCTTTGTCTATGGTATTCTGATTTTCAATGGTCTATAGCAGGAGTTCTCGGTGGTACGCAAGAGAAAAATAGGTGGTACGCAAAGAAGCAAAGTATTTTTAACTATTAAATTCAAAAATTAAAACCCCAACATCCTGATTGAGGTTTTTCTCTAACACTCATAAACTTATGCGACCTGAGCTTTGTTCAAGAGTGGTGGTGGCAGTAGTACTTTGTAGTGGTGGTACTAAAGGTTTTCAATTTTTGTTTGGATGGTACGCGTTAGTCGAAAGGTTGAAAACCGCTGGTCTATGGTATTCTGATTTTTTCATTTGGAATAAGACTAAAGTGCCCGAGATAATGCCGTTATTTAAAAAAGAGCTGAACCTACAACGGTTATTTAAATTTGCAGCGTGGGCATACCAAAATATCTTGTGGCCATTGTAGAGTCATTATGTTATTTTGAAGCAGGAGACATGAAAAAATGAGCAATGTCCTCGCCTGGACTCGACCCTGGACCTCTCGAATACTCGAATAGTCATCATCAATATTTTCGCGTCCGTCACTAAATCTCCTATATGAACGAAAAGCATTAGAACTTGTTGGAGACGCTAAAGCAACAATAATTATTATAAGACACATATCATACTTTATATGACGAAAGAAGAATATTTGGAAATATCCAACTTTTGATCATTCATTTATTAGCAATTAAATATAAATTATGCATTGCGCTTTGAAAGTTTCCGAACTCGTTTAAAAACTATTATTATTATTATTGAATCAGAACAGACCTTTATCCTTTTTGGAATCAAAACAGATATTTTGTATAAGAAACTTATTTCAAAGCAGGAAAAATTTAACTGTTTAGTGTAATTCTTTTAGAAAACTTCATTTATCTTACAATACTATAAAAAAAAGGTTGAGAGATTTATTGATTAAGGTTAACGAATCTGAGGACTAGCTGTCTAAGAAAAGCGTTAAATTCAACAAGACAATCAAAAGAATTATCTTGTTGTAAATAGCTCAGTCAAACAATGTACTTGTCAAATATTTACTAAACATTTACCATCAAACTGGAAAAATATTTTTAATTAAACGAGAAAGTAACCTTAGTCAGGATATATTTTAAATAAGATAAAATGCTACCGATTTCAAAAGTTACCAAACAAACACATATCTTTTTTTTTTCCTTTAAAAGTAAAAAAAAAAAAGATTTTTTTTATTTATTTAGTTTTTTATTGAAAAGGAGGGACCAGTTTCTCACAGCCGTAGAAATCGATTGATTTTTATTTAAAATATATGCCAAAATTAATTTGCTATCACGTTAATATATTAATATCGACATTTCTTGACACACATCATAGGAACTACATAGGAACTTTCATAGGAACTTTCTATCATTCCACACACATCCAAGTTGTGGTTCCTTGCGAATTGGAATTTGATTTTGGGAGGGGGAGGGTCACTATGTTAAAAATATTGTTTTTGTGCCAGTCTTGTCTCTGATGATGTTGAACTCAAAATATGCAGTATTCATGATCACATACGATAGACTTCAACTTGTATAGATTGAAATGGACTTAAGTAGATACGTTTTGCTTTACCTAGAGCATCTCCAATACATGGCAAGAAACTTGAATAATTTAATTTGATATATGAATAATTTAATCGGCATATTAAATTGTTAATTTGTATATTAAATTATTTTAGATAATCATTTGTAATAGACTGACTCTTTTCGGTTTATCTTGTATTCTTGCTTTTCCTTTCAGTCTGATTGGCCTTGGGTGCACAATTCGCATTTTTTCCTTTTAAAATGTTCTTCTAAATATGTATTTCTATGCTCTTTTGCTACTGGGGGCTGTTTAATTTTAATTTTCTCCGTTTCCCACGCATACGAGTCGTCATATATTGGTTAACATGAAGTCCAACTGACTTTCGTACGTCACCCACCTACAAGGCAATTCTAAATAGTTGGAAAAAAATGATAAACTGAAATAAGTCGATTTCATAAGAGAATGTGTACGCGGAAATAGCACGTTGAGATAATAGAGGTCGCTGTTATCGGCAGAAAAAATGGTCTGATGGCGTAAATAATCATTTACAATCGGAGAGGATTCCTCACACGTAAAGATCGTGTTTTTTCGAAGCTCTTGCTTAGTACTCACCACGTGCTTTTACTAAGAAGTCCGCGCCTCGTGTTTTACCACGTGCTTTTATTTACTCATTATGAATACTTCTCATCACTCGGTTCAGGTCGACCAGTCGTTTGCAATTCCGCATAAACTTGATACAAAGAAGACCAAAAAAAAATGGAATTGAGGTTTTTCCCTGTCTTAATAATGTTACTATTTACAGGAGATAATAAAAGCTGGAAAACCAGTTCATGCTAGCTTACGTAAAGCGCAAGGTGATTTTTTCGCCTTAATGTACGAAGGACATTAAGGCGAAGATCTTCAACAACTATAGGATCAGTTTCCCAAAACTGATCCTATAGTTGTTGAAGACAGTATAGTTGAAGACAGTATAAGTTGAAGACAGTATAGTTGTTGAAGACAGTATAGTTGTTGAAGACAGTAAGACAGTTTGAGACAGTATAGTTGTTGAAGACAGTATAGTTGAAGACAGTATAGTTGTTGAAGACAGTATAGTTGAAGACAGTATAGTTGTTGAAGACAGTATAGTTTTGAAGACAGTATAGTTGTTGAAGACAGTATAGTTGTTGAAGACAGTATAGTTGTTGAAGACAGTATAGTTGTTGAAGACAGTATAGTTGTTGAAGACAGTACAGTTGTTGAAGACAGTATAGTTGAAGACAGTATAGTTGAAGACAGTATAGTTGAAGACAGTATAGTTGAAGACAGTATAGTTGTTGAAGACAGTATAGTTGTTGAAGACAGTATAGTTGTTGAAGACAAAGCTAGATGGAAAAATAAGAAGCCTAATATGTCAGCGTTATTAGCCAAAGTAAATAATTGGGACTCGAGAGCTTCTCCGCCGCAACCGAATGAAGAAGCATGGACAGCAATTTTGAACTAATTCTCAGAGGTGCATCAAATATAGTAAAAAGCATTTAACATTCACTTGCGACTTACGAAAGACTAGAAACTGACCTGCATTAGATACATTCAAAATTCCGTTGCTTCCATTAAGGGTTGTGAGTTTTCTCCAAAAACTCGCAAAAGAAAAATTGATGAAAAAGTTGCCTAAGAGACCAGCCAAAGAGGCTCCTGTACGTAGGAAAAAATATTCTGACACTGAATCTCCAGCGCAAGCAACCACTGTACCAGCTTTCCTGTTGGAGTTCCGATCTCTAACGGACAAGATTATGAAATTCTCAAGCATTTTTTTTTTTTTTTTTTTTTTTTTAAATTTTCGGGATACTTTAAGAAGATGAAGAAACCAG